CCACAGCAGGCTAGGCAGTCAGCTTAGAGCTCTTGCTACCCACCAGCTCCTAAGTAACACATGAGCAGACCAGTGTTTGATTGCTGGCTTCATCCCGGAGCATGGTGTGGGCCTCTGAATAGTTGGGAGTGCATTTGCACAAATAATTTGTTGAGACTATGTCCTAGAAACTTGACTTATTTTTTTCTTAAAGCAAATTATATTTATGATCAGTGGACTTCATATACAAAGCAACTAGAGTAGATAATAAATTTGACTGAAAAGTTTCATTTATTAAAATTCATATTTCCTGTTAATACAATAATCCCCAATACATAATCTTGTCTTTTGGGAGACATCTACTTTCTTCTTTGATAAAACAGAAATTATTGTTATATATTTCAATCAGGTTCATCTTTATTTTAACATCGTTTGTTTGTTGCTGTTTTTCATCATGGTGCTATTATTAAAACAAAAATGAGACTTTCCCTGTTTGTTAGTATTTTTTTTTAATCAACTCAACAAAAGGTAGAGTCACCTAGAAAAAGGGAACTTTAACTGAAGAATTGCCTCCAACAGAGTGACCCATGGACACATCTGTAGAGCATTTCATAGATTAGAGGTTGATCTGGGAAGGCCAATGGGAATGGTGCCACTTCTGGACTGGTGTTCTTGGGTTGTACAAGAAAGCAGGCTGAGCAAGCCATGGTGAGCAAAGCCATTCCATTATGGTCCCTGTTTCAGTACCTGCCTCCAGGTTCCCGTCTTCACTTCCCTCTATGATGGACTGTGTAAGCCAGATCAACTCTTTCCTCCCTGAAGGTGCTTCTGCTTGTGGGGTTTATCACAGTAATAGAAAACAAACTAGAATACCCAGCAACTTTTTGCTCGGTGCTTACTTTTCAGTTATTTCTCTCATTGCTGAAATGAAAGCAATTTCATTTCAGTTTAAATGCTGTTCTTTACTGATGCAAAAGTCTCCTGAGTTTAATTAGCATCCTCAACTACTTAATGATCACAGAACCACAAATGTCACTTGAAAATGTAAAACCTTTATCTTTTAGCTCCCTTTTGCTTTCATGCGTGGCATGGCCCTAAAAATCACAGTAGTGATATTTATTAGCTGTTTTTGTGAAATTGTGGGTAATATATCTTTCACATTTCATTGAGAAGAAAAGAAACCAAATCCCACCAGGATCTCCAATATTAGTTCTTTCTGTGGGACTTTTTTTTTTTTTTCTATTAGATGATGTGTTTGGACTGGTCTACATTTTACAGCGGAGGACTGGAAAAGCAAAATCCTATTTTTGAGTTAGAGATTTAAGCCCTACGTCGGATGTTTTGGCTGACACTCTCAGCCGATCTGGCTCACATTTAAGATCGTACAATTATTTTTTTCTGATGTGACAGAGTGTCTTTATTTTCAGTAAGAAAATTTTATTTTTTAGTTTGCCACGGTAGAAAGCAATAAATAGCGACTAAGTAAGACCCTGTGTTCCCTTGGATTCTTCCATTTCTAAAGAGCACTCTGCAAACCACAGCTTTGCCCTGGACTCCCTTCTAGGGAGTGCCAGTCAGTGCAGCATCTCCATTCCTATCCATGGAGTGTCTGTCTTCCATTCCTACCCATTGGGTGTCTGTCTTGCCTTCTCTGTAGGGGAGTTGCTGAATGATGTGTATGAATAAATCTGATGGGAAATTCCTTATTTTTCAAATGAACCCAAATTCTCATTTTTTTTTTCTCTTTAGCATAGAGAGGCTTCTAAACTCCAAGTGGCTGTTCATATTATCAAAAATCTCTTAAATATAGGAAAAACTATCAGGTCGTGGAGTCTACCCAAAGTGTCCCACATAATCCCCAGTCGCAGAGTGTACATTCTGATTTTTCATCTATGGAATACTCTTGTATTTATCTCCATTTGAGGAAAATGGAGATTATTTTGCACTCTACATTCTGAGTGGTATCTAAGATTGTGTCCACACTACATAAAGCCGGGTGTCTACTTTTACCATGGAATGTAGAATTATTTCATTTTAATTTGAGGAGGCATAGCCAATAAGAGTCTATTAACAACAATTCACCTTTTATCGGACCCACGGTTTTCTGTCTTTGAGTCCAAGCTTAACTTTCCCCTCCAGCTACTTTGAACAAGATGAGTTTGGCCAAGAGAGCATTTCCTTGCTTCTATCTTTGGCTGTGTGTGCAGGAGTCTCTCTGTCTGGAAGGAATTTCCCTTCATTCACTGTTCATTTGTGTAAACATGTACCCTTCCTTCAAAACTCTTATCAAACGCCATTTATGAAGCTTTCTCTAAACATCTCACTGTAAACACACACTCTCTCACTGTCACACACACACACACACACACACACACACACACACACACACACACACACAAGTTTTAAAAAAGCAACACATCTCTCTCTCCTCAGCTGTGATTGCTACAGTAACAGAGGGAGGCCCCAGGAAGAAGGCCCCAAAGACCTTATTTAACCTGTTTACAGAAATTACAGAAGGCCCTGTTATCTTCTGAGCTCTCCCTCACTTCTTTTAAAGTTTACTTAAAACTAAACCAACATCTTTATTTTGAAAATAAGCTATGAAGTTAAAACCAATTTATAAAATTATTCAAGACAATATTCTATTATCTCAATTGTTTTCTTTTTTGCTACTTTTCCGATAATATGAAAGTTTAACTTTCTGTTAAGATGGTTCAAACTATTTAACAGTATATATGCCCAGATGCTGGAGAAAGAGGAAGCATAGTTTTTGAATTCCAAACCAGAAATGTTGGCAAACATGTTCACGAAAGAACTCTTGTGAGCATTCTGAAAACTGATCTCCCCACCCCCCATTTCCCCACTACAGCATAACAGAAAAAAAAAAAAAAGCTTGGGTGGAGTTGAGAGCTCTTTTCAAATGTAAAACAATCAGTGGAAATCCTGAAAATGTATCCTCCTTCATCCAGTGGGAAAAACACTTTAAAGTTATTTTTTTTCCCTAAGAATTGTTTAGCAAGAGATTTACTCAGAAGTTTCTATTTTTGACAGAAAGTTCAGTTTTAACTGCCTGAAATATAATGCCATCTGTGTTTATTTTTCCCTTCTAAAACACAATTCCTTTTTCTCCTGTGCACATAACAATCACATGACTCTAATAACCCAGATAAATGTGTTAATCAAAAAGGTGTAAATTTCATTTTTTGAATCTAAGCCACAGAAAGCATATCTTCAAATTACAATTTTTAAGATATTCTGGTTAATAGTTAAGTCCATAATATTTATCTCCCTCTGAGAGGGAGTGTGGTTGAGAAACTGGGCACAGTGAACACTGGGATGCAGTGAGTGCACAGATGGAAGCCTCAGGGCCTCCGAACCAAAGAATCCCAGACTTACTCATTCATACCCATCACTGGTTCCACTCACACATCTACCTGGCATTCAGAAATCACTGCAAATCATTGCAAATTGTTTATCAGAAGCTTTGTGTTATCTATGGTCTATGAAGTGATCTATAATCATAAAAATCATTATAGATTAATATTTGAGTTACCCCATTTCTGTAAAAAAAATTATGCTGATAGACAATTAATTGCTTTCCTAATGAATTTTCCATAAGGAAAAATTCAGAAATTTTACTTAGTTTATATTTTATTGAATATTTGGTTTCCACTTAAAATTACCAAATCTTTCATATTTTAAATTTTATCCTGGCATTTCTTTGATAGCTAATAGTCTCCAAGAACATCCCCAAATATTTTCGGAGTGAGGTCTATAGTCAAACAGAACTCTAATATCAGGGCTAACATGGATTCTAGAAAGTTTCTGTGACATGTCTCCCTTTCAAGGAAAGGGGAGGATTTTGTTGTGGAGCATCTCAATGGACATGTTCTCAGAGCAGCTGGGCCTGTGGGAACTAGCCCAACACTCCCTGTTTCCTCTTGAGCCTTCTAAAGGCAGAGTTAAGCAGAACTACATGAGAATGGAAGAGTTCCTCCCACTCCACCCGTGTGCACATGGAAAAGGAAAGTAGCACGGGGTAGAGCCTGGACCACTGCTCACAGCTGAGAGGGACCCCCAGGAGATGCTCACTGCAGGGAGACCATTTCTACCAGCTCTTGGTTTTTCACTTGTCAGCTTGACAGGCAGAGGAACTGCAAGCCCACACTTAGGAAATAATTTTCTGGCCTTTCAACCCGAAGGCAGGCTTCACCTCCATTGTCCTCTGCTCAGAAGCAGCACTAAAATATGTTTTTAATCCCATACGGGTCACACTTAAGACCATCTGTACTTTATGTGTGTGTAAGGTATATATAACTCATGCCTACCTTCATTTAGGTTCCAAATTTATTTCTCTGAGTTGTCTTATATACATTATGTAAATAACAGATTTCTTACTGCAGTTGTTTTCTTTATCCACAACCTCTCCTTTTCCTTAACTAGTGCATGTATTAGACAATTCAAGGCATGGTTGGTAAAATACGCTGATCATAATTAAACAACAAATGTTAGCTTATACATCCCAACAGAGGAGACAAAAGCATATCATGAAAGTGTTATCAATAACATGATTACTTAAGGCATTACTATAATACACACAAGAAACAATGAAATGATCCCTTTAAAACTCTCTTCTAATAGAGGTAATTTTTATTAATTTATACATCTGTCAACTAATATGATACATGAGGTGTTAATGCATGATTAAATCTCTAGTAAAGATTTTAAATCAATCGTGTGCGTGTGCGTGTGCGTGTGCGTGTGTGTGTGTGTGTGTGTGTGTGTGTGTGTATTGAAATCTCATGCAGTAGCTGAGACCGGACTGGAACTAATTATGTTACCCTGACTGGCTTCAAACCTATGGCAATCCCTCTGGCTCAGCCTCCCTAGTGCTAGAATTACAGGTAGGGGCCACCATCTTCTGCACCACCCTTCACTCTCTTGTCTGTCCTTGTAACTCAGTGTTACTTGAAAGAGTAACTTGACTAAAGGAAGAAGAGCACTGTTCAAGCGCTACTCACGAGAGAATGTTCCCAATGTAGGCATAGTAGGAGCAGCAGTAGGGTGTACTTCCATCACAGCAGTAAGATCTGCAGTCTTTGCCACACTGAGCAAGGCAATTCTCTACAAAGCAAAAGGAGAGCGGTTGAAGTTGTGAAGTCACAGTTTAAGGAAAAATTATTCTGCTCGTGTCTCAATCAGTCAACCAGTTTTTAGCACATAGACATGTTCATTTTCACACTCTCAATTCCAAAACGCTTCTGAAGGTCTAAATTGGCCTTTTTCCCCAATAGACTCCAAGCTGGTAGAAATACAACCCTTCTTCCCAAGTCCGTGCTCTGGACACTGTAATGTAGTTGGCTTTGGGTGAACAAGATTATGATGACAGGAATGTATCAACTCATCAGTCAATAAAGTGGCCAATGAAATTCTTATCATAGTTTCTAAACAACAAAGCTTCCTGACTTTAGAGTGTTGATTCTCTAATAACCTCGATTAATGGAAATTGACATAGGTGATGCCAACAATGATCCTTGAAAACTAATGTGTATATTTGTCATGGTAATTTCTTAATGCTTTTCCTTTTATGTTGTTATTTGTTACCTCTATAATTATAGTTCCTATATATACAATTACATAGTTTAGTCTGCAGACTGTCCATCCATTAGGCTTGGAAGATAATGAGTTGGGTACAGATGTTCATAGAAATAACTTGTAAATTTAGAGCTTAGTTAATGTCATATTGAAGAATCAATAAATGATAAAACAACACAATGTGATGCAGGAAATTTCTGATTAAAAGGATATGCTGGACCTAATATGACCACATTACTTTTTCTTGTGTGCTTTTCAACAAGAAAATTCACACAAAACTATTTAATAAGAATCACACTGACCTTAAAGAGCTTTTTGTTCCACCTAAATGATTTCTTTCTCAGTGTAGAATTAACACTGAGCTTTAACAAACACTAAACATTATGGTAGATGTGTTTTGGGTACATATTTTAAAAACCACTGTAGTCCCACAATTTATACTGTATGTTCAAGAATTTCAAAATAAGGCATTTTCAATTCGGCTCCTAAAAATAATGTCAATTGTATGGTATAAATTATATGAAGTTTTTGGTTTCCTATCAAAGTTTCAATATTGAAAGTACAAAGTATTATCTTTTTTTTTTTTTTAAATCACATGTTCTCTTATTGCTTTCTCTAAAATAAGAAACATTAGCCTGGTGGTGGTGGTGGTGGTGGTGGTGGTGCACACCTTTGATCCCAGCACTTGAGAGGCAGAGCCAGGTGGATCTCTGTGAGTTCGAGGCTAGCCTGGTCTGCAGAGTGAGATCTAGGACAGGCACCAAAACTACACAGAGAAACCCTGTCTCGAAAAACCAAAAAA